CTGGACGGTGCCTGCGCACAGTGGGTGCTCACCAGACAGACGCCTGGACGGTGCCTGCGCACAGTGGGTGCTCACCAGACAGATGCGTGGGGAGCTGCAGCTCCCAGTGTAATAAAATCTTCTTCCTTGAGAAGGGCTGGTATGTGACCACCTGGGGTTTAAAAAGAAACTGTAGACAGAGGGTGAGTGCTTGTCTGTTGCATGGCCTTAAGTAAACACTTTAAGGTCACATTTAAAACTTAACTTTCATATCTCACGTATTGCTAACAAAAGCACAAATAGATTCTGAGCCGTTTGCCTCTTTATTCGAAAGATGTTTTTCACAAACCGTGCAAATGAAATCTGTAACCAGAAATTAATGTGGCAGACTAGGATGTTTTCGCTTTTATTTTCCTAATTGTGAAGCTCAGATGCCATGGCAGGCTGGGCAGGGTACGGTTCTTTTTGGACTGGTCTTTTGCATTACTTCCAGATTTTCAAGGATGTTTTATGGCCACGGCCTATCCCCCTGTGTGCGGGCAAACTCACAGGGCTGGGGGGTCCAGGCCATTGGGAGGCCTCCAGAATGCTGCTAGTGCCTGCCCGATGGAGGAGGTGAGTAGGGCCGTTCTCAGATCATCACATGCCTGCAGGACATCTCCCAAGACTCCCCCCACCACACGAACAACCAGGCCTCTGGGTGCATTTGGCCATGAGGCTGTGCAGGTTGTGCACTGCACAATTTCAGGGAGCACTGTCCATAGAGTCTGGCTGATGTGGATGGTAGCCCTGCAGCGGTAGGGGCCACAGCCCTGCCCAAAACCACAACCCAGCTAGAGGAAATGAGGCCTTGGGGGCTGCCCACTCCATGGCCCTACTCTGCTGATGGCAGTGCATACAGCAGGCCTGTAGCTGACTTCTGCTTCTAATGCTGGTGTCTTCACTGACCTGCCTTTCTCAGGCACTGGGGCCTCAGCAGCACCCTTGGAGTGCGGATACATTGCACCCTTCAAATGCCCACAGGTGATGCCAAACAGCCACACGTCTCACCTTCGCGGTGCGTCATGGGCAGAGGGGTGTGCCCTGCTCTTGCCAGGCCACGTCAGGGGCTCAGTGCCCTTCCGTTCTCCATTCCCTTCGCCTTGTTCTTGGGCAGCACACCCTCTGATGGCCAGTGGCGGGCATCAGTGTCCACCCTGAATTTGTGAGCCCGCGTGACTACACTCTGCTCTTCCGCCCTTCGAACTGCACTGTGGTCTCAGAAGCCCTCCCAGGCGAAACGCCGCAGCCCCTTAGGACACAGGCTGGTTTGGGGGAACCCCCGCAAGGGCAGGGTGGCCGATGGTCCTTGGGCATCACGGCACACGTTGCTTTGGTGGGAGTGTGGCTTCCTGCGGAATGCAAGGGCAGCACCTTCAAAGGGACGCCCTTCCTAACGGCTTCCCCAGAACCAGCAGGAGGAGCAGGGAAGCAGGTCTGGCTGGAGGGAACCTGCTCTCACCCTGGGGCTCCTTCTCTAGGCCAGGAGGCCGGGAACCGAGCTGGACACAGAAGCAGGTTCAGCATGGACACACTTGAGCTGAGAGTGACTCTAGTGTCCCCCCCCACAGGACCACCCTGGGGTCAGTCTCATACTCCTGCCTGGTGCTACATTCCAGGGCCCCTCTGTCCATGCGGCCAGCCACCCGGCCAGATCGTCCAGCTGAGCACGATTGGAACACACCCTCTCTCCGCTACACAGACCACCTGCCATCAGTGTGGAACTGGGGGCACCCCAAGGGATAAAGTCATCCAGTTCAGCACTGCCCTGCAGTCCAGACGTGTGCAGACATTAGGAGACACATCCGTCTGCCCGCCCACCCGTCCGTGTGTCCATCCATCCACCCGTCACCTGCCCATTCAGCCAACGTTCTCTGAGTGCTGCCGTGTGCTGGCACTGTTGCGAGCTCTGGGGGTACTGAGCAAGCTCTGCGACAAAGCCCCTTGCTCATGGAGCAAACACCCCCAGGGACAGGGCGGACAGTTGACAGGCCAATCAAGCAGCCGGTGCCACAGCGGTGAGCTGAGAGGTTGGGGGTGGGACGCCAGGTGACACTGGGGCAAAGCCCCTAAGGGGCCCGAGGAAGTAAGGGCCGCGGGCAAGCTCCTTCCAGGCAGAGGGAACCACTGGTACAAAGGCCCCGAGAGGGGCGAGTGCTTGATGTGGGGAGACGGGCTGGGGTCACAGCTTCGGGATTTGAGTCCTGGGAGAACCAGAGCTTTTCCTGGGTTGGAGGGTCCCCACAGTAGGGCCTGGAAAGGCAGGGCAGGGGACCCGGCAGGAGGCCTTTGCAGCTTCTGGCTGGAGGTTCTGAGCAGTGGCCAGGTTTGTAAGAATCTCGAAGGCAGAACGAACAGGTGTGCTGACAGAGTGGGAAGAGCAGGAGCAAAGCAGAAGTCAGGCATGCTCCACGGAGTGGGGCTGATGGCTGTCCTGTGCTGCGGTGGCAGGGTGGCTTGGCGAGGAAAGGAGGGATGTGGCCTGCCTCATGGAGCCTGAGAAGCCCAGGCGAGCCTTCGTAGACAGTGGCCCTGGCAGGAGGGGGCTGAGGGCTGAACGTAAACCCAAGCCCCAGGGGAATAAAGGACGTTCCAGTCCTGATGCTGGAGGTCAGACTGGCGCCTCCACGCCTCCTGGGTTCCCAGGTCAGCCGGCCCTCGGCCCTCGGAGGAAGGGGGTGGCTGTGGGGAGGGGCAGAGAGACTTTCGCGCTGCACCACACAAAGCTGGGGGTGCTTCTTTCCGACAAGCTGTTGGATCCTGCTGTGGGACGTAGATTCCTGTTGGCAGCGCGAGACTTGCACCCTCAGGCCCCTAATGGGGTCTGCAGGGCTCCGGGTCCTGCGTTGTGCGTAAGGACCGGGGCCAGGCGAGCTCAGGGACGCTGTCGAGTGGCGCCCGAGGCACCAGGAACTGCCCACCCCACCCGCCTGGCGGCCAGGTCCTTAGGGTCCCCGGCCCCGCCGGCCACCCCGGAGCTGCGCTCCACCCCCAAGGGAGGCGGCCGTTCTGGTCCTTCGCAGGAGGACCCGGCGGACCTCGGGCCGGCCGCGGCCCGGCAGAGGCGGGGATCCGAGCGCGCCCCGCGGTGCGGGAGAAAGGCGCGGAGGTGCGGTCGGGCGGGCCGCTGGCCAGGGGCGGCGTGCGCGGGCGGCGCGGGCGTGCCGAGGGCGCAGCGCGGTCTGCGCTCGCTAGTGCGCGGCGGGGGCGGGAAGGCCCCGCCCCGGGGCGGGAGGGAACCGCCGGATTAAAGGCCGCCCGGGCGGGCGGGACCCGACTGCCGCCCGGCACCCAGAGCGCGCGGAGCCGGCGCCCCGTTGCGCAGCAGGATTCGCCGCGACATGCGCATCCGCGCTGCGCGCTGAGCGGCGCGGCAATGTCGGGGCGCGGGGCCCGCGGCCCCGGCTGGGGACTGCTGCTGGCACTGGCGCTGGCGTTGAGCCGGCTGCCGCGGACCAGGGGCATCGAGGAGGAGCCCAGCGGCGCGAGCCAGGGCTTCCAGGTGGTCACCTTCGAATGGCACCACGTCCAGGACCCGTACATCATCGCGCTCTGGATCCTCGTGGCCAGCTTGGCCAAGATCGGTGAGTGGCCCCGGGCTGGCCGGCCGCGGGACGCCCCCTTCCCCGGCCCGCTGTGCCGGCGGGTGTGCGGGGCCCGGGCGGGCGCCCCGGGGGACAGAGCCGCGGCCTTCGCCTTTGTCGCTGCGGCGGTCTCCCTGTGCCATCTCCGTCAGGTCCGGAGCGCAGCGGCCACGCGGGTCGCCCGGGTCTCCCCACCCCGGGCAGGCGCTGGGTCTGAAGCCCGCTCCGGGCTCCCCGGGGTCTCCGCTGGGCTCTCGCCCTGGCGTCGGCTCAGAACCGGGTGCTCGCGCTCAGGGAATCCTCGCGGCCAGGATTTCTGTCGGGTTTGTTGCGGCTTTTTACAGCGAGAGAGGAATGTTCTTGGAGTCAGGCACAGCAGTGATGTTTTATCGTCTCTAGGGCAGAAAAGAAAATCCATGCTCCTACTCAAGAGTAAACCCAGTGGGACCCTATTTGTAGGAGCAATTTTCCTAGTGACTGTCTTCCTTTCTCTAAACATCCTGGTCTGTCCGATTTCTCCTCTCTTAACTGGCTTCCAGAGAGTCAGTAATACGGGAGTTGCAGGTGACTCCCAGGCAAGGTGATAGGAAGGTCGGCTTTCTTAAGAGCTCACGAGGATCAAAGTCTCAGCGTGTTGGCCAGTGCCGGCACTGGGGCTCTTGCTGGAGGTGGCGGGGACGTGGGCGCAAGTGTCACCTCCTAGCGGCATCCTGCAGCCCAGAGAAGCAAGACCAGAGCAGCAGGCGTCTGGGAGGTTTCCGGAGTGGTTTTGGGATGGGGACAGGGTAAGGAGGAGAGGGTCTGCTGGGGCCTGGGGGCTGATGTCCTTGGCAGGACTGGGGAGGGACAGGCTCTGGGGAGAGCGGGTTAAAGGGCCGGTGTAGCGGGCAGGCTTGGCTGGAGAAGGGCACCTGCTGTCTGTCCTGTGTCTGTGGTGAGCTCCCTTCCCCTTTGAATCCGTCTTTTCTGCTCTGTCTCTTCAAAGCTCTTCCCGTTCCTCCTGCCCCTGCCTCTGTGTGGCTCCGCCTTCCTCCCCGTGTGCTTCAGCACCCGGCCCCTCGGGCTTTCCAATCGGGGCCGCGTTGAGGCTGGCTGCGTCCTGGAGCTCACTGACCCAGGAACGGTGAGGGAGGCAGGGAGGGCCAGCCTCAGCCTGAGGCTCCCAGGACACCCGTCCTAAAGCTCGGCTGCTTCCGTCTGGTGGGTGTACCCTGTGGAGTGAGTGAATTCGCACTTTCTGTGCGAGCTGGGGGCCACCGCCAGGCCAGTCCCCATGTCCAGTTCAGGACCTGGCATCTGAAAGTCCAGTGACGGCCCCCGGAGCACTGGCCAGGCGGTCAGCCCTGCTCGGGGAGGCTGCTGGGAGGGCAGGCTGACCCCAGAGTTTGTTATTAGCCAGGAAAAGCCTTCGGGCCTTCCCAGTGCTGCAACTCGTCCTGAGAGGACGTGCATGAGGGTAGGGGGGTGGGTGTTGGGCCCAGAACGCGTTTCCTGCAGGGTCTGGACCCGCCATAACAAGCCGCTTCCCAGGCAGTCACTGTAGCCCTGGGCTGGTTGCCCCCCTGAGAGGGCAAGAGCCAAGCATTGGTGGAGTTTGGGGGCTCTGAGGACAACATGGGGGGCCCTTGGCACTCCCTTGGAAATGCCCTCACCCTGGACAGGCCCTAACCCTAACCACCCGCCGTCTTTTCTGTACTTGGAGGCTCCCGCTGTGAGGGTGTCACCGCGAGCAGGTCACCCTGTGTAGGGGCTGAGTCTTTCTATCTTAAAACGTGAGGCAGGACCCTCCCCTCAGCCCCCAGGCCCCCATCTCTCAGCCCCACCCCCCGGCTCCCTGAGGCCCTCCTGGGGGCTGAGTGTGGTCCCCACGCGGCCCCAACTCCTGGCCCTGCCCAAGAGCCCCCACCTGATTCTGCCTGTTCCCACCGTCCCCCCTGGGCTGGCTGCGTCTTCTCCTCCCACCCTGGGTCCCCCCACCCATCTCCCTGCACTGGGCCATCTCACACCTTCGGGTGCCCAGCTCCCACCTCCAGCGGGCGTCCGTGGTCAGCTGCCTCCCGGGCACCCCTGCACAGACACCTCCACGCCCTAGTGCTCAGGCCCAGACAACCCCACACCTCCAGCCCCCCCACCCTCCACTCCTCACACTCGAGGCTCAGCCGGCCCAGACACAGCGGCTCACGCCAGGTCAGCACCGTGGCCCCTGGCACAGACTCCAGCTCCCCGTCCCCACGACCCCTGTCCACTCTGCAGCGCCCAGGGCGGTGACAGCAGAGACCTGCCTGGGGCGACCCCCCAGGCCCAGCACTCTGCCTGCGGCTCCCTCCCTCCGGCCTCCTTCCTGGTGAACTCTGGACTTGCGGGAGCACAGCCGGTGGACCTGGCCTCCTTGGAAGCCTCCCAGCCCCCCCCCCACCCCGTGCAGCCACCAGACATGCCCCTGTCCCGAGACCCCCCCAGAGCAGCCTCCACCCTCAGCCTGCAGGCAGACACGGCAGGGCTCCAGTATCTGCACAAATTAGGGAAACGCTTGAGTTTCGCCGAACCCCTCCATGTGCCACGGTCCCCAGCCTGCGGCTCCTACTGACGACGGTGCTTGGCACGTTTTGTTGTTTCAGATGATCAGCGATTGCCCGACTATTTCAGCCTCAGGTTGCACACACAGAAATGTATCTTCTGACAAAAAAGGGGCTGCTTTTATGTTGGTTTTCCAAACATTTGCTGAATTTCTTGCACATTGTCTGAAGTGTTGCTGCCTCACACTCACAACCTTAAAAGGTCAGATTTCAAGCCATTCATAACCCGGTTGGGGAAATGAGACCCGGGACCCTGGAACACAGGCAGGGGCTGACGCCAGGAGGTTTTCACTTCCGGCAGCTTCGGAGAAGCAAGGATGGGAGCTGCCTGGCAGGTGGTCAGGAGCCTGGGTGAGGAACAGGTGCCCCGAGCCCACAGACCCCAAGATCCGTGCCCGGGCTCAGCAAGCCCCCCCATCCGTGCGCATTTGGGCGCCCTGGGGTCCCCTTGCCTGTTTCTGCAGCTCTGAAAGTTCAGAAAGGGAGGAGGGGGCTGCTGGGGCCAGGGTGCCGTCCACAGCGCGGGGCAGGTGGGCGAGAGGGTGAGGACCCTCCTGCAGTGGAGCTGTGGGCCTGGTGTCCGACCGGGTGGAGTGAGGGTCCCCTCCTCTGGACCAGGCTGGGTACCTGGGACATGTGCCCTTTGGGGGTTGGCAGCCTGCAGTCACCACACCAGGGTCACTTTGGGCCTCACCCTGTACCGTCGAGCACTGGGGGCCCTGGGCAGGGCTCTCTCATGGAGTTCTCCTTCCTGGGCCTCCTGGGGGCTAAACGTGGGTGCTGCCCGGCTCAGCAGGTGCCCCTTGGCCATGCAGCTGCCCACCCGGGAGGGGAGCCAGCGGCAGGAGAGAAGCAGGAGGGCCAGGGGCCAGCAGAGAGGCCGAGGTTGTGGGGGCGCCAGGGGTGCAGGAGAGAGACAGGGAGCCAGGGGTGCAGGAGAGAGCATGGGGGACCAGGGGCAGGGGAGAGCAGGAGGGCCGGGGGCAGCAGAGAGGCCCCACCAATTCAACTGCAGGCCTTGGAGGACTTTGGTCTCAGCCCCAGGTGGGGGTGGGGGGCACGTGGCCACAGCTGGGTCCTCAGACCACGCCCTGGCCGTGGGGCAGGAAAGGCCAGCAGAGGGTTGCCGGGAGGACAATCTTGAGCTTTCCCGGACTTGGTCACGGGAGGCGGGGGCAGCAGCTGGTCCTGGGTGGGCCCTGGGGAAGGTCACAGGGTTGTCCATGACACAGCAGAGGCCAGACCCGTCCCCATCCTATTCTCCCACCCTCGGGCCTCAGGCCACCTGGCAAAGCCCTGCCGACTGCACCCACCGCACCCCCAGCTGAGCCACCCACAGCGACAGCACCTGAGGAGATGGGAATGTGAGGTGCGGCTTTCGGGCTCAGGAGGCTGAGGCAGGCAGGGCAGGGAGCAGGTTCTAGGCCCAGGTGGGCCCTCCGTTCCCAGCGTTAGGCCGTGGGGACACCTGGGACAGACGGGGCTGGGTGTCTGTGGGCCCGGCCCAGCCGGGCTGCAGAAGCTCTCGTGGCCTGGGGCGGGTGCGGGGCAGGTGGGGCAGGTGGGGGCGGGAGAGACGCCAGCGGTTTGGGGATGCGCCCTGGAAGTAGCGCCAGAGCTCGCGTTGCTGCGCCCGCGAGGAGCCTGGGCGGCCTCAGGTGGGGAAGCGCGGCGTGCGGCCTCCTGCCCAGGTCGCCCAGCGCACATCTGTCCACCCTGAGCGTCACCATGTTGTTCTCCATGACGGCCACTGGGGCTGCCGCGTGGCTGTGGGGCTGTGACTCTCTTCCCTGCGCGGACAGCTGCCTTTCCAAGACCCAGGTCTCTGACCATGAGGTCCCTTGTTCCTGGTCCCCAAGTCCCCGTCACTGCCAAGGTGCTGACAGCTCTTCCTGGTTGTTTGGGTTGGGGTGCAGGACGGCCACCCTCACCGGGCACTCAAGCCCCCGACATCTTACCCGGGGCACACAGGGGGCCTCTACCATCGGGCGGGGGCACCTCCGTCTACACCTGCTGCCTGGCCCAGGGCTTCCTCCCAGGCACAGCCATCCATCGGGCACTGGGCGTCTTCCCTGAGTCATGTTCCCAGGCTGTGGGGGACGCCGTGGGGGTCATACTGACCTCCTGGGGTGAAACTTGGAAGCCGGAGGTTTTTATTCCTTGTGCTCTGGCTTGGCCCTGGGGACAGGAGCCCGTGACATGCCCAGCCTGGACATGCCGTCTTTCCCGGGGGCCCCTGGGCACCGTCCACTGTGTCTGCTACCCCCCCCACCCCACCTTGCTGAACTTCTCTCTGACTCTCCCGGAAGGAACTTAGCAGAGGATGCGGGGCGGGGAAGACCCAGCAGGGCCAGGGTGGGCAGTACTCCACCCCGTCCTCCCAGGGAGGACCAGGCAGTGGACCCTAGGGGACCCCAGTCGTGA